GTGTGTGTGTGTGTGTGTGTGTGTGTGTGAATAGAGAGAAGTGTGAAGAAGAAGAAGAAGAAAGGAAGGAGAGAGAGAGAGAGAGAGAGAGAGTGTGTGTGTGTGTGTGTGAGAGAGAGAGTGAGAGAGGTATTTCCGTCACGAGTTGCGCGAACATTGCCCAGGTGTCATGGAAGCCGCGGTGTACGTGCGACGATGTGCATCCGACGTGGACGCTTTTGACTGTGCACCGGAACGATGAACTCTTTCGCAACGACGCGCCGTTTGTCGATGCAACCGAGCGACGACGACGTGTCCGGCGGGACGGCCGGCGCGACGACTATGGGATGGCGCTTTTAGCGATGAGTCCGCGCGCGATTCGGAATTGCGAATACGAATCGACGCACATAAGGGGAAATTCCGATAACCGTCGATGACCCGACACCCGACATCTCATTAACGATGGATAGTGGGTAAAATCACAAAACTTGACGCCATCGATCAAAGACGAGTGCATTTATTCTTGTCGGACAAGACGTAACTCGACGTTGATGAAAATGAATAAATTTTGAAATTATATCGATATATATATCGATAGTAAAAAGAAAAAAAAATCACGCGTTTTATCACGCACTCTCGACAATTCTGGTTTTTCAAATTCTGCGTAAACGTTTCAATGATCGGTTCTGAATTTAAAATTCACTTCGAGTTCCGAAAGCGCATCGGAATGTAACTTTCGCTCAACTCATTTGTATTTCGCCGAAGATCCTCGGATTCCGATTGTTCACAATTCAGAGACTCTCGAAAACAATCGACTCAAAATTCTCTTCCCGGCTGAACGACTGTAAATACCTCCAGTTCGAGGAGAAAACCTGTGTCTTCTGGGACATCTTGTACACAACACGGATAGCGAAAAGGATGGAGAGGATGAGCGTGTAGCGTGTAGTTTAGGCAAAAAAAAAGAGACCGGAAACATAAAGAGAGAAAGAGAAAGCCGCCAATGTGTTCGCCTTTCTTTCCGCAATTCCGCAATTCGGAAATAGACTCGAAGCGTTCGCCGACTCACAGCTGGACTTTCAGCCGGCAAGGTTGGTGACGAGTGCATCGAGAATGGGAGAAACGAATCGTTGCCATGCAACCGCGGCTTTGATCGAGTATACGCTCCAGAATTCGCGCCTGTGTGGCCATCGGCCGCTACCAGTGTGTATATCGCAGTACACATCGATTCTTCTCTAGCGGCATGCACAAGGAACCTTTTGTCGATCCTCGAGTCTCGTGTTCCAATATTGACGCCGCATTTCCGGCCACTGGCGAGGAGGCGAACGGCGAAATCTCGAATTTCTACACTGAGATCGGAAGATATTGCGGAGGCGATTACCGCGTAATCGGATCGCGCGTCCTTTTCTTATCGCTTTCCTTCCCTTCCGCACCGCGTTTCCTCCTCCTCCTCCTCCTCCTTCTCCTCCTCCCCTTCCCCATCCTGCGGCATCTCGAAATCAATTAGCGGATGATAAAAGCCTTGTATCGCGCGCGAGCATCCCCACGTCGACGACGAGCGCTCGCGATTTTCGGATTATTCCTACGGATTTATCTCGGCCAAACAGAATCGCGCTACTTCACAATCAAGAAACGTCGTTGGGACGCAATTGGCTTACGCGAAATAGAAATTGCGCGTTATGAGATTCAGCAGTAATTACGCTTCCGTTCCGACAGTTATCCCAAAAGGTGCAGAGACAAAGCGAGATTCACCGTATATAATGATATTTACGTTAAATTCAAGCGCGTTATTTGATGCCTTTCAAAGTTCGAGGAAGAATGAGATCCTTTACGTTGCGGAGCAAAAAACATTTATAGAGAAAAAACGCACAAAAGAATTTTTTCAATTGTTTAATATTAATATTAATAGAACTACAATCGAAATATTAATATTAATAGAACTACAATCGACAAACGGTATCTTTAAAGGTAATATACAAATGGAATTCATCGTGGCGTTTGCAAGATTTCACGACTTTGAATAGCGACTGATCATATATTTGTCATAAAGTAAATTAAATTTTGTAAACGCATGGAGAACTTCTTTCTGTCGGAATTAATAGAAATAAAACAGCGTCCACGGAACGTCGGAATGAAAATAGTGCGCGGGATTAAAATGAAATCCTCTTAATTAATTCAAATATGCAGAATCTTTTATCCTTTTCACGTGTATATTCACGTTGTTTACGCGATCCCTCAAGTACGGAGCCATTCCGCATTGGCAAAAAAAAAAAATTACAGGATGTCAGGTGAGATTTATTCTTCCATTTCTCGGGAAAGCGTTTTCCGTAAAAGGCGAAAGATAATGGAGAAGAGTCGGTCGTGCGTGCAATCCGCGTGTAGCACGCGAGCGCAAAAAAAAAAAAACGGCGCAGTGACGAGAATATGCTTCGTTCTAATCGATCAAGTGCGCGCGAAAGATGCGAAAGATGCGTCCGATTCAATTAGCTCTCGCAATTCTCTTTTTTCGAACAACTGTCTATTCGTCTTTACGATGGTATAGTAGATAGAATAGTACGGAGAGCTTCGTCTATAATATCGAATTTCCGCGCGGCGCTCACGGCGTGACTCATAACTCTTGTTCGGGACTATTGCTGTCCCATTCGTTTCTCAGATTGCACGTATTTCGTTTCTCGTCGAAACACGTAGAAGAAAGAGAGAATTTATCGCTCATTATTTTCTTTAGACAATTCTCGACAATTTGCAATTTTTATTATGTATCTATCATATATTTACAAGCTGAAGAAGGCTTTAAAAAATCGACATAGCTTAGTAAATTTATTTTTTTCCCGTTAAGTTACATTTCTTAAAGATAATTCTAAAGATAATTTCTTAAAGATAATTTTTTTTTTATTAAAACCTCGCAACCTCGAGAAAAATGTACAATTCTTCTCCATGCGATCTTTCCAACGTTGGCAATCAGAAGGCGTAATACATTCGGACAGTCCTGGTCTGTCTGGCCACGACCGAGACGATCGAGACGCGCGGGAATAGCCATTATAGTCGGTAATCGATTTAAAATACATTTAGGAACTCGTAAACGACTTCTTATTCGGTGCATAATTCAGCGCGACCACGTTTCGCCACCGTCGACTTTGTTCGTAACTGTTAATAAAACTTCGAACTGTCGTGAAATATGAATAATGAATGAATGAAAGTGCGGGTACTCAACGCCTCTTCTCGAGCCGAAAGCGCGTGTGCGTATGCTCGAAGCACTCGAGAGAGAGAGAGAGAGAGAGAGAGAGAGAGAGAGAGAGAAGAGATCAAAAGATTCCCTGCGTTTTGACTCGAAAATGCCGGCGTATTATTTGCCCCGCGAGCGAGGGATAAAAATTGATATATTTACGATCGCAAAATATCCAGGTGGACGCGCGTCGCTTTTTTTTTTTTTTTTTTTAATTCGAACCGAACGTGAGCGATACACGATTACGGATTAAATTTTTACCCATCCGACCGCGCGTCCCACGTCTCTTTCACGGAGATGGATCTGTCCGCTTAGAAGTTTATAGAGTTTATAAGATAACTTTATACGGTTTTTATACCAGCATCGGGATGGAACGGCCACTGCCAAAGCGGTTTCGCGGGACCGCGGGATGTTCACGATGGGAACGAACCGCCTATCAGTTAAAATGCAATTTCGCGCGTGGAAAAAGTCGCGCGGCGGCAATTCCCCGTGAATTTTTACAACACAGAGCCGGCCGTTCCGGCGCCGCCGTTCCGCGACGCGCGGTTTTAATTTACACCTTAAATAAAGTTGTACTAAAAAGCAGATTGAATTGCGGCTTGTGGTGGTAGTTGCGAAAAGCGCGCGTTGGTATTCAGCGACAATCGGTGTGTGTGCGCGCCGACTGCGCGCGGTAGATTCCACTCGCCTAATACCGGATGTGAAGAGATTCGCGTACGCGGACTGAAACGGAAAGGAGGGTGGAAGAAAGAACGAGAGAAAACGCGAAGGCAGGGGAGAGGGGAGGGGAGGGAGAGAAGGAAAAAAACGAGTAATCGCGTAACAGTTAATATGGAGAGGCGCGATACGCTTAGAGTACCGCGGCGAGCTGGTTGCCGTTTTTCATTCGGATAGCAGGATACGCAAATAAAAGAAGCGGGTGCGTGCCGTGGTTTCGTTATTCCATCTCCTCCGGTATCAGTGGTGCACGCTCGAATGCGAGCTCGTGCCCGTACCCGTGAAGGAGATTCTCCGTTACGATTCTCGTCGAGTCTCTGAGAACGTATATCATGCGAGAAACGTAATTATTCGTCGTTCCTCCGGAAGCGCATGATTACCGATTGTCGCGCATGAAAGAAACAAATGGAGAAAAAAATCAAACGATGCGTCCGATATTCGATAAATCTTATTGCCCCGTGGAGTTCGGTAAACACGCGATATTTATTTTTCCTCTTTT